GAACATAGGTGCAGTTTCATATGTGCAGTTTTCGACAACGCCAACGTTAATGAGGGCTGCGGTCTCAAGGTATCGAACGCTACTTAACTGCGGTTTGCTGCTGCCTCATCACATAAATACTCCGGATATACTAGCAGAATACACACGGGCCTACGTGCCGCCTTCAGCGTCTGTGCAATATCGGGACAAATCGCCATCTTTTTAGCGGACAGCACTATTATCTCCTCGATCTAATCTCTGATAAAAAGACATACTCGATACTGTCTCAGTGTAGTTTGCTTCTGGAGACTGAAGCCTGGTGACCTAACCAATATGGACCAACATATCTTACTTTCCTGCGCTGTAATATTCTGTGTTCAATTATTTACTGCATTTTCAGCAGATTCTTGTGTTTTGAGGGATTAAGCGATACTCATTCTGCGTGGATTGACTGTTAGAGTGAATGCTTGCGTAATGGGCCCTGGCTCGGATTCGAGTGTGACGGAGGAGATAACACAAAGTGATCAGAAGTCATACTGTAGGCAAAGAAGTCAGAAGACCCATGCACTGCAAATAAAAGAACGCATATATTGCTGTTGGGTATAGTAAAAGTGGATGCATTTTTGTTGTGATGATGGATTTTTTTGTCATGGAAGCAAGTTATAGGCGCCGATAAATTAAAATTGTTATTGGGTATGAAGATTGCGAACATGTTGGCACAGTTATTTTAGTTAATAGTCACCTTAAATATGCAAAGCGCGCCATAACTTTCCACATTTCTTGTTGGTTCGACTACTGTTTGTTCCAAGGTGTCTCCAATGTGCGGCTGTAGGCTACACATAACTACATAAGTCTTTTGGAAGTCCAGCGATTTTGTTTGTGGCGGACGATATATTCCTAATTCAGTGGAAATCTGGCCGTTAGGAACGTCTTTTGCTTTTATGTTGCCTGTGTTCTAAGTTTTGGTAGAATTTACTTAAATTTTGCAAATAAAAGTATACTTCTTTAAGCAGTCTATTTACCCTAAAAGCAGTAAGGTTCTACTGTTACCACTGTCTCACAACGCCACATTTTTGGGTAACATCCATCCAGGTTCGTTGTGCACAGTTCTAATTTACAACATGGACGACGGCATCGTAGAAGTTGAGGACAAGGACTTATTGGTGGATGCCAAAAGTAGCCTATCTCTCCCTAGATACTTTACCTTTATTTTGACATTGAAGGTACAACTGGAACTTTAACTTCCACTCTGATCGTCGCCCTGGTTCTTGTTTCCCTGTACTTACTGTTATTGCTAGTAAACCGGATAGCCGCCGCTGCTGCCAACTACGCTGCTGGAGGTAAGATTTTACCGTCACACTCTTATCTTTCTAGGTCGAGCTCACAATCACGATGAGGCCATGCAAGAAGCTCGACGACGCTTGCAAGAAAGATTTAATCAGATGAACCAGCGCCAAACTCCTGCTGAAAATGCACCAAATAGTTCCAGTCTCACGGATGGGGACTCCACAGAGGTTTCAATTATTTTCTTTGTGTTGCACCAGTAGTTTT